TCTTGGCTGGTTGAGGAATTCTGGGAGTTGAAGTCCATAAGTCTTGGTTGGTTGAGGAATTCTGGGAGTTGAAGTCCATAAGTCTTGGCTGGTTGAGGGATTCTGGGAGTTGAAGTCCGTAAGTCTTAAGATTGGCTGGTGGAGGAATTCTGGGAGTTGAAGTCCACGGGTCTTCAAGTATGGAGATCAAAGGTTTCCTTCTGGCTAAGTATCTATCTTTCTTTGCAAAGGCCTGACATGATAGCAATATTCCAGTATTTGAGGGGCTGCCACAAAAAAGAGGGAGTCCATTCATTTTCCAAGGCACTAGAATGCAAGAAGAAACGGAAGGCAATTAATCAAAGAAACCTGGAATTAAGGAGAACAATTAACCAGTGGAACAGCTTGCCACTAGAAGTTGTGGAAGTTTTAAAGAAAAGACTGGACAGCCAACTGTCTGAAATGGTATAGGGTTTCCTGCTTGGGCAGGGGTTGGACTAGGAGACCTCTGAGGTCCCTTCCAGCTTTATTCTGATTAAATCCGTCTTCCTTGTTTTTCTCCTTCGCAGCTCGCCGAAATGCTTCCCAGAAACGGGTGCCGATGTTTGTCACAAGATCCCTGGGGAGTTCAGCCTCCAGGGCCGGCACCGTAGAGAGGAAGCAACGAGAGTCCCGCTCTAAGCCTTGGGGATCTAACCCTGCAATCTGTTTCTCCTCTCTAGGATAGCGAGGAATTGCTCAAATTGATGCGACCGGAAGGGACGCTGGCCCTCGAGCTGCCCTGGAAATGCAAGACCCTGCCCCGTTCCCCCTACCTCTTGGTGCATTTCCACGGAGGGGGTTTCGTAGCCCAGACCTCCAAGTCCCACGAGCCCTACCTGAAATCGTGGGCTCAGGAGTTAGGGGCGCCTATTCTTTCGATCGACTACTCGCTGTCGCCCGAGGCTCCGTTCCCACGAGCGTTAGAAGAATGTTTCTTTGCCTACTGCTGGGCCCTTAAGAACTGCCACCTCTTGGGTAAGGAATTGGGGTGGGGTGGGGGTTGGCCCAGTGGTGGGATTCAAAAATATTTACTATTGGCTCTGTGGGCATGGCTTGTGGGCGTGGCAGGGAAGGATACTGCAAAATCCCCATTCCCTCCCCACCCCACTAACCTGCTTTCCAGCTCCGTTCTCCTGTGCAAGGCAACCAAAGGAGACCCAGCCAATCAGCTGGGACTCTGGAGGCGGAGAAGATATGGGGGCGGGGCCAGTTAGAGGCAGTATTAGCCGGTTCTCCAAACTACTCAGAATTTCCGCTACCGGTTCTCCAGAACTGGTCAGAACCTGCTGAATACCTCCTCTGGGGTGTCCCCTCCCTCCAGGGCAGGCACAGAGGACAAATTAGTACAAGCAGTCCTTGATTTACAATTACAATAGCCAAATTTCCTACTGAGCAAGACGGTTAAGTGAGTTTTGCCCCATTTTACAACCCTTCTTGCCGCCGTTGTTAAGCAAATCACCGTAGTAACATGGTGGCTTAAGCGTATCTGGCTTCCTCTTTGACTTGACTTGTCAGGAAGATCACAAAAAGGGGATAACGTGACCACTGGGACATGGCAACCGTCATAAGTACATGCCAGTTGCCACGCATCTCGATTTTGATCGCCTGGATCATGAGGATGCTGCAATGGCTACGACAGGAATGCCGTGACAGTCCTTTAATGTGAAAAAACGGCCAAAAGTCACTTGTTCTGTGGCCTTGTAACTTCAGACAGTCAGTAAATGAGCTATTGTAAGTTGAGGACTACCTGTAACATTTTAATTTGTTTTCCATTGCTTTTGAAATAATAACAGAAAAAGAAAAGGAAGAAAATCCACCGTTGGTCAATGACAAAAAGCAGATATACTTGAAACAGCTTACGTCCCACAACGATACCTGTAAACTCCATCAAACATCCACATTTTCCTATCCCAGGTTCTTGGGAAGGGCTCGATAGGTAGATAGAAATGCCAAATCCAGTCTGAACATCTGGCAAACAAACCATAATAGTAGTTAGGCTTGAGAAAAAGCAAAGGGGTTTAAAAATAAGTGGACAAATGCAACAAACAAAAATTAGTATCGTAAGACAGTTTCAATTCTATATATATATTTTTATCTGATGCAAATATTATTCAAGTACGCCTACATTTCTAATGCACTTGATAGTTATACGTTTCTTTAGCCGACTGTATTTTGTATAAATGAGTCTCATGTTTCATTATATTTGTCCATACAAAGTCTACTTCTTTGGGGAATCAATTCATAACATGGCCACCTATAAGCGGATAAATCCGTAATAGCGGAAGTTGTGGGAGCTTCATCACTGGAGGCTTTCAAGAAGAGACTGGATTACCATTTGTCAGAAATGGTGGAGGGCCTCTTGCCTGAGCGGGGGGTTGGACTAAATGACCTACAAGGTCCTTCCCAACTGTGTTAATCTGTAATCTATGTAGTTGAAGTCACCGGCTTTTAAAATCTTGAGTCAGCAGAAGCGGGAGCGAATGACAGGAGCTCGCCCTGTCACACAGCAGCAACCGGGTCTCAAACGCGGGCTTGCCGATTGTAATTTGATCTCTACTTCTCTCTCTCTCTCTCTTCGTCACCACCATTCCTGACTCCTCTTCCTTTCCATCCCAGGTTCCACAGCACAAAAGGTGTGCCTTGCCGGGGACAGCGCCGGTGGCAACCTCTGCATCACCGTCTCCATGCGGGCCGCTGCTTTTGGGATCAAGATGCCGGATGGGATCATGGCGGCCTACCCTGTCACCCTCTTGGAGGTCGCCGCCTCACCCTCGCGCCTTCTCACGCTGCTGGACCCGCTCCTGCCTCTCAGCGTCTTATGCAAATGCCTCAGTGCCTATGCAGGTGAGGGATCTCGCTGGAAAGCGGGGGGGGAGGGGGGGTTCCCACGGTTAGGGAGGTGGGAGAAGGAGGGATGAAGGTGAGGCTGGCGACCGACAACCAGGCATCTGTGTCGGAACTGGAGGCGTTTAGGAAGGATTGGACCCATGACGTAAGATGAGCTTTATTTCAACGTTGGCTTCCAGGTGCAGTCTTGTGTCAAGGAATTGCTCAACGGGTGTCCAAACGAAGTCAGAGACCCTGACACGAATTTGTAGTTTTATGTAAATAAGTACATTTTACATCTGCATATGCAGCAAACAAGATAGTCAGGCAAACGGGAGCATCATGAGGTAAATCACAAAGCACACAGATGAAAAAAAGGCGGGGAAAAAAGGGAAACTCCCCCTTTACGCCCACAGTAACCAATCACGGAGCAGATCACCTCACGCAGGAGCCATCCCTCTCCAATCAATCAGCCGATCACAACTGTGTGTTCTGGCTCACTGCACAACACCCCATTGTTCCAGCTAGTAAATTTAAATCTCTTTATAACCTGGTTATGGCCAGTCAGTCCTCAAAAGTTCCTCCCCCGTTTGTGAGGTTGGGCAGAGTGAGGGCACTTTGGATCCCATAGATCAAGTCATATCATCTTTGGGGGATCAGGAAGCATGCCTTCTCTGACGTCACCAGAGATCCAGATGGCGCCTATCTGTCAAAGTTCCGACTGATGAACCCAATCCATAGCAAGAGCCCCTAGTCTTATATACCACTTCACAGTGCTGTTACAGAATCTGGTAGTCCCGCTAGAAATACTTGGAAACCTCCTCCCAGAGGGGAGCAATAGAAACAGACCATGACATGGGTGTGCGGGGTCTCTAACAAAGCTTTGAGCTCTAAGCACATAGCGGTTATAAGCAGTATCCTCAATAACAGGAACTCTACCAGTCTTAACGTTACCAGGGACTAGAAGAGAATAGAGAATAGAACAGGGAATCGAATGGAACGGAACGGAACAGAACAGAACAGAACAGAACAGAACAGAATAGAATAGAATAGCTTTATTGGCCAAGTGTGATTGGACACACAAAGAATTTGTCTTTGGTGCCTATGCTCTCAGTGTACATAAGAAAAAAAATAAAGTACATTCATCAAGAATCATAAGATACAACTCTTAGTGATAATCATAGGTTACTAAATAAGCAATCAAATCATACCAGGAAACTAAATAAACTAGTTATAGTCATAAATAGAAAAGAAGATAGGTAATGGGAAGGATGAGAAGAAGAATAGTTATACAGTCTTACTAAGTAGTTTGACAGTGCCGAGGGAATCATTTGTTTAGCAGAGGGATGGCGTTTGGGGAAAAAACTGTCCTTGTGTCTAGTTGTGCTAGTGTGTGGGGCTCTATAGTGTTGTTTTGAGGGAAGGAGTTGAAACAGTTTATGTCCGGGATGTGAGGGGCCTGTAAGTATTTTGACAGACCTCTTTTTGACTCGTGCAGGATGCAGGTCCTCCATGAAAGGCAGGTGGGTAGCCATTGGTTTTTTTTCTGCAGTTCTAATTACCCTCTGAAATCTGAGTCTGTCCTGTTGGGCTGCAGAGCCAAACCAGACTGTTATAAGGTTGGACATTCCTAACCCAAATTCTTCCACTTCCTTATTTTTGTTCTTCCCAACCCGAAGGAATGGAGTCCGAGCAGCCAGACGACTCAGCCTTGGAAAAGCTGGACCCCATGAACATGATGCGCCATAACACAGCCCTCCTCTTCCGAGACTTGCGCCTGGGCGCATCCGCCTTGGTTGGCTCTTTGATGGACAAGACAGGCAAGCACAATGGGGCGGGTGAAGTAAATGGTAAGAAGGACCTCCCCTGGGGCTGCAGGCTGCCGGCTCCTCCGCTTCATCCGCTTCTGCCTTCCTCTTCTTTGTCTTCTCGCGGCAGACGTGGCACCAGCTCTGAGAGCCCCCCGTGGCCAGCTGGTGCCGATACTCCCGAATGCCTTACTAATTCCAGCACTTGGTAGGAACTGTCCTTTTCTCTCGCCGAAATCAGGCGCTGCTGCTTCTAAAACGCAAGTCTTGGTAACTGCTCGACTTACGACCGTCCATTTAGCAACTGCAAAGTTGCAACGGCACCGAAAAAGCGCCTCGTGGCCATTTTTCAACACTTACGAACCGTCGCAGTGCTCCCCGGGGTCACGTATGATCAAAATTCAGGCTCTTGGCATGTGCTTGTGATGGTTACAGCGTCCCCCAGGAAGGGGAGGGGTCACGTGTTCCTCTTTTGTGGCCTTCCGACAAGCCAGGTCAGCGGGGAAGCTAGATTCACTTAACAACGGCAGCATCTCACTTAACAACAGTGGTAAAACGGTCATAAAATGGGGCAGAACTCCCCGAACGGCCTTGCTGAACAATAGCAATTTTGGCTCAGTAGTGGTTATAAATAAAATCTTGCTTCCTCCATGTCAACTCAAAAATATTTCTCTGGTCTTTTAGAGTTGACATCAGAAAGGGAGTGGGGGACACAGTACATTCCTTAAATGCTTCAGATAATTGCTAGGCGGCCGAAGCTTCTGACGCTCAAGTTTATTACTGGAGAGCATGATCGATGACTCTTGGCTATGGATGTGTCCCATTGGAGAATATACATCCAGGGGCTGGGAGGAAGACCAGGGTCAAAGGGGAAATGAATGATGTGTCTCAGGTAGCACCAACATCTTCACTCCTAATAAATCATTATTATTTTTTTTACTCTGAGAGATGCGGCTAGAGACTCATGATTTGAACAGGGGGGGTGAATGCCGGAGCCCTTGGCTTATCCGAAGCGGCGGGGGAAGGTTGCAAATCTGTAACGCTGTTACTCTGTTGTTCTGTGCAGAAGCCTTGAGGAAAAGCGCCTCCGAGACGAGCCTGAAATGCAAGCCGCTTGCCAGCCACAAAGACTCCCGGAAGAAGAGCCAGACATGTCAAAATTTCTTAGGGTCCTCTGATGTCCAGCGAGACCCAAGTTCGACCACTCCAGAGCCTGAAGACCAGCCCACCTTCTTCTTGTCCGACCAGGACCAAGAGGCCTTCTCCTCCAGCAATCCCCGGGGCTTGATGTTTCCCGACGGCTTCCAGCCACTACGCAGCATCCAGCCTGCCGCCAGCCTGCCTCTGGAGCTCTCGCCTATCGTCAAGAACCCCTTCATGTCGCCCCTTTTGGCCCCGGATGAAATGCTGAAGGGACTCCCTCCGGTCCATATCGTGGTGAGCAGGCCTGGGCGGCTCCAGGGAGGCAGGGTGTGTTAGAAGTGGGCGGGAGCAAAGGTTGAGTAGGTGTGGGAATTGGGGAGCAGGCTCGCACTTCCCCTAAACCAGAGGTCTCCAAACTTGGCAACTTTAAGGCCTGTGGACTTCAACTCCCAGAATTCTCCAGCCAGCTGTGTCTGTTTTTTTTTTTTTCTCCTATCCTCCGAAGAGGAGAGATTGCAGAGGAAGGGATTACAAGTGAGTAAGCTAGGCTGTCTGGAGAATTCTGGGAGTTGAAGTCCACAAGCCGTAAAGTTGCCAAGTTTGGGGACCCCTGCCTTAACCCGTAACCCTAACCTTTACCCCTAACCCTAACCTGGATGAAATGCCTTGGAAATTGTTAATCACGCCATATAATTTATTTATTTTTGTTTTGTTTGTTTCCTTATTTATATCCCACCTTCATTCTTTTTTACAATAACTCGAGACCGTGAACGTATTTAATCTAATTTCCTCCTCATATTTTCCCCACAGCAACAACCCTGTGAGGTAGGATGGACTGAAAGAGAGTGACTGGCCCAAAGTCCCTGGAGACGGCTTTCATGCCTTAAGGGGGGACTAGAACTCCCAGTCTCCTACTGATTGGCCCAAAGTGACCCAGCCAGGTTTCATGGCTGAGGTGGGACTAGAACTCACATTCACCTGGTGATTGGCCCAAAGTGACCCAGCTGGCTTTTATGCCTAAGGCAGGACTAGAACTCTCCTGCTGATTGGCCCAAATTCACTCAGCTGGCTTTCGTGACTAAGGCAGGACTAGAACTCACCATCGTCCGGTTTCAAGCCTGGTGCCTTACCCATTACACCAAACTGGTCCAGTGGAGTATGTGAGGGTTAGGAGGATTTCCTGATTCTTGGGATTTACAGGCTCCGTCCATCTCTTTTCCTTAGGCGTGTGCTCTGGATCCCATGTTGGACGACTCCGTTATGTTTGCTCAGAGGTTACGGGCCCTCGGCCAGCCGGTCACCCTGCGCGTGGTGCAAGATTTGCCTCATGGCTTCCTCAGCCTCTCCCAGCTGTGCCGCGAAACCCGCCAGGCCTCGGCCGTCTGCACAGAGCTCATCCGGAACATTCTGATGCCCTCCGACACCGCCCCCCCACAGCCCCCGGCCGCCCTCCCGAAACATCGCAAACTAGAGCGAACTTCTCCGGCCGTGGCTGTGAACGCCGACCTCGCTCCCATCCAGGAGAACGGGGTGCCCCCTCAACACAAAACGTCGCACACCCCAGCGGCCGAAAGCCGGGCCTCCAGACCCAACGAAGAAGTCCAAACCACCAGCAACGTTCCAGAATCCCAAACGGGGGGCCACTCCCTGGACCAGCCAAACCAATCCAAGAACATCAGCACTCCTCCCGCAGCCGGTCCCATCTTAAACGCCGCCATCATTCCCGGCCAGGATTCTGGCCCATCAAGTAGCACCTCAGGCCGAGGGGTCGGGGCCTGAGGAGCGCCCCCTTCCTAATCCCCACCCCAACCCCAGACCTTGTGTCTCGACATGGTGTGCAATTTACAGTGGTGCTTTTTTTATTTTCTCCTCCGCCCCCACCCCGCCCCCACCCCTTTCACACTTTGGGA